GGTTCTGAGGAGCCCGGTTTATGTTCTTACAGATGATGCTATGCCTTTCCATAAAGTACAAGGTACATTTAATTTAATTAAAACATACCTAAAAATATTTTATCAACCACACAAATTACACATCCTAGACATAGAAAAAATCTGGCATGGGTGTTGGACCAGAGGATGTTTAAGGTCCCTTCCGACCACAACTATCCTATGATCCTCTGACTCATTCACAACAGGAGGACCTCAGATCTCATACCATTTTGCACTGATAAAATTAATGTCACAAATAACTCTAAGGTGATATGTTGTTATTGCTTTTCCAAAATGGTTTTACAAGACCTGTAAGGGCAAAGATACTCTAACATAGGGCTATCAAATGTTATTAATGGGTTTTAACTCTCCAAAATTATTTTACTTGCTGGATTCCTAACTCTATAAAAACAGAACTGTATTTTTTTCCTTAATGAAATCTTGGCCACACTCTGCAAGGACTCTGAATCAAAACAAACATCGCAGTTGTTCCCTGAGCACTTCCATTTGCTTTCTTTCCCTGCTGTGCTGGAAATGTGCTTTGTGCTCACTCTCAATCAGGTATCTCAACAGTCTATCAGGTAGCCCAGCATAATGCAAATGTTAGAGTTACAGATCAGCCATTCCCTACTGCTGTTCACTTCCTGGTTTAGATCTCTTGTCACTTACAAATCAGGATGTTTATGCACTCAATTATAACACTTCCAGGTGAGGATAGAGTATTTCCATTACTCTCAACAGGACTTCAGGGAAAAAAAAAAACGTGTGAAGTGCTGTGAGATTTTAAATTCTCTTAGATTCATACTTCTCCATACCTCACTGCAGCAGAACATTTTGCAGCGAGCTGATATTTATAAAAGTGTTAAGCATGCACACTAGATTGGAGGAGTTTTCCAAGTCAGAGTAATTGCTAAAAGATTGCTAAAAAGATCCTTTGGAATCATCACCAACACAGCAAACTGCCTCCTTCTGCTCAGCCAAAGGGCCTTGAGCCACACAGAAAATATCCAGCTACTAGCTCTGCCCAAAGATGCACAAGGATCATAAACCACAAAAAGCATTGCAAGTGAAAACCAGCTCTTTCCATACTAACAGCACAAGTACTTTGAGCACCAGGCTGATTTTCAGCAAAGCACAGGTAATCACCATAACCAACCCACACACTGCGTGCTGGGAAAGAGTTCAATGCTTCCTCTGCAGTAGCCAGAGCTTAGCCACAGCACCTGCCTGCCTGCAGCCCGAGGGCTGTGTGCTCACTGTGTGAACCCCAAGCACTGCAGCCAGCTTCTGCTGGCATTCCCAGCACCACCACCATCAGGTGTCTGAAAAGTGCTGTGTCTGCTCCTGGTCCACTGCACATTTTTGGGTGATGGAACAAGGGCACATTCTGGATTTTCAGCAGCTAAAATGAGAGTAATTAATCTTAATTCTCTCCATCTCCCTGAAAAATAGAACTTCTACTGCTTGAGGAAAACAAAGAGCTGTAAGTTGTTCAGAGGCAAATTAATCTTAAAGGGGGAATCTTCAAAAAAAGAAAAAGAAATCAATATCTTATAACAAGATTCTTTATTGCATTGGAGCCTTGAAACTTAAACCAGAACCAAAGGGGACTTAAGCATTGCAAGTTTGCTCTTGTTATGCTTTGTTTTCAATACAATGCCATCATTTGAAAAAGTAAGATTTTCAGATATGAGCAGTTTTAGTTGTGTGGTTTCATCTCCGTGGAAAAAAAACTTGTAATATTTAATGCAGACTGTAGGATTACAGGTATTTCAGGCAGCTTTAGGGAAGTTATTCAGAAAAGAACTTTTATAGGGGATTATATCCTTAATCCTGCATGTAGTATTCTATATCTTAGATATCTTTATTCATTTGTACCTTTCTAAATTAGTCTGTTCCACGTGAGAAACATGAAAATTATGTCTCTTGTTTTTAAAAAGAAAAAAAAAATCTAAAAAAAGAGAAAACCATTGAATTTAACCATGATGCCATGGAAACAGCTTTAAAATTGATTTGGCTGCAGGGAAGAAAGATACAACTCTAACATAAAGCAAGTGACAGCTTTCAGAAGAAAGAAGAAAATCTGTCTTCATTCAGCACTGAGTGCTTTGAGAAACAATAATGCTTAGTGAGGTGAGAGGGTCTTCTCAAAATACAGGGAAACAAGATCTCTCAAAAACATTCCGTTCACAACCAGTCTGAGTGTGACAAGGAGAGGTGGTGCAGGGCAGACATGTACCGACCTGCAGGAACAGAAAACTTGAAATGAAAACCACTTGAAAATCACCAGTAAAGAACATTCTCGGACAGGTTCTTTCCTTGTACAGAGAGCACAGTACAGTGTGGAGAGACCATTTAGAGATCAGCACAGGAAATAACTATTCTAACTTCTAAGCAGTTCAATGTGTTAACTCATCCCCCCAGACACTTGCATCTGCCTGCAGTCTGCATGCCAGTTTGGCACAGACAGAATTGTGTCTCGCCGCTATCATAGAGGTCCACCAGAGCCAGGACACTGTCACAGGCTGGTTGCAGCATAATGCATTGCAGCAGGCCAGAACTGCACTGCACATTAGGCTGCTTCCTGGGTCTGAGACAAATATTCTCTACACACTCATACATACTTGAAGAATTTTGTTCCCATAAGTCCCATCTGTAAAAATAAGAGCTTCACACTGACACATGCTTCCAAGGATGGAAGGAGAATTTGGCCCTTCCTTTTAGCTGTTCCTTCACTAGCATTTTGGTCTGTGAGATAAACTTGGTTCATCTAATCCATTTCTATTCTGGGACTCATTATAGAAGGAATTCTAGTCTAAAACAGATCTCAGTTCTTACTTTTTTCATAACTCACAAGTTAATCTGGTTGCCAGAATTACTAGTTATACATAAAAAGAAGGATATGTTCTAACTTTTGTCATTCCAGTGAGGGCAGTCCCCAGAGCCACAACATTGTGAAAGTTCAGAAGTACCACAAAGCAATGGCTAATGAGCCTGAATGTCTGTGTGCTGTACTGTAAATGCTCTGATTCCTTGCAGGACCTTTAGAAAGCTCACTGTATTCATTCTGCTTCCTAGCTATCAGAATTCAGTAGATGTCTTCATTGGCTACTTTGACATTTTTACTTCTGTTTTGGTTTGTTTACTTGCCTTAAAACATGCCAACCATGCGGACTGTAAAAAGGTCAGCCAATAGTTCCTTATCCAGAGAGGGCAAAATAACTGAAATTAACACATAGTAACAGTAATTCTGGCTATTTTTTGTCTGTGAACCATTAGTTGTGAATTGTAAAGCTACATGCCAAAGATCTAATCTTACTCATACAAGTATTCTCTTTCCTTTCAGAATTCCCACTACCCTTTTTGCATCCACATCCAAGCACTAAAGCCACATTGCTCAGGGACTGGGGCAGGGACAGGAGGAGGCCTGAGGGATTTTCACACTAGAAAGCCCACAAGAGCTGATTGAGTGATTTACATATAACATACAAAGAATACATTGTGCAGTTGGGCGGAGTGTTGGAAATGCTATCTGAACACTCCCGGACTTTGCAGGCATCTGTTGTATCTCAGCCTGTCACAGACTGAGGTAATAATGGTGTAGGTTACAAATAACTCAGGATACCGTTGTAATTCAGATTGTTACTGGCATACACATGGGTGAACATCTATCTGGATAGCAAAGCAACATTTTGTCCTTGTTATTTGATCGTGCACTGTAAATTGTCACAGAGAGGTCATTTTTGTAGAGAAATCCTTGCAATTGTTCTGGTTTACAGTACAAAGGCACCAGACGTCATATCCAGAAGACAAAATCACCAATGCCATCATTACATCACATTTCAGATGTTTGGAGTTTGTTTGGTTTTTTTTAGTTGTTGTTTTGTTTTGTTTTATGTTTTGACATGGAGATTTCTTCCTTGTTACAAGCATGGGAAGCTCTATGTGATAAAATTCCTTTGCTGGCAGCATAAGTCTTGGGCCATTTATTTAGTTAAAGTGACAAGATAGAGACCAAATTAATGCTATGTTAGTCTACAGATTTCATTGCACTAACTTCAGATTTACATCAGAAGTTGGAAAATGAACTTGATTTTTAAAATACAAGCATTGAGCTGCTGTGATTGCCAGAGCAATGACCTTACTTTTCTGATTGACATCTGAAAACTAAATATATCTTAAAGCAAAGTAAAACTAAATAAATAGCTTTTCAAATCGTTGGAAGTAATTAACTTCTTCACATGGGTTTGTTAAAATTGTTTATCTTTAAAAAAAAAATCACTAATAATTGCAGTATTAACTGTAAAATTACCCAGTGGTCCCAGAAAAATATAAATATTGTTATTCTGGGTAAGAAATATTCATTTACACAGAGAGAGAGAGAGAGAGAGATGAACTCTACCTTTCTAACTTAAAATGTACATTTTAATGATGAGCGAAGAGAAGCTGTAGGCACTGAGTAGATCCTGGTTAGCAGTAACATAGTAAGCACTTTGCTGTAGGAGGTTTTGTAACCGAGTTTGTTAAAACTGAAGCCAATGGATATCAGTATTTTGAATTCTGCAAGTCCTGCTTTAAACACTTCCAATCCTGCATCCCATATGTTTCTACAAATATTTCAGCCCCTGACTCCCCTGTGCTTGGCTCGAGGCTGAGAAGCACAGATTACTTGCTGCCCATGGCAAATGCTGTTTCACTGGGGAAATGATGTCACCCCCTGCAGTGCAATTCATAACTTGATGAGGGTAAATTCACTTACTGGCAATCTAGAAGAAAACATGTTGGTGCTGTACCAGCTGAAGCCAGATGGTAACTGAAATTATTAAAATTGTGCACACCACAAATCCCTGAAAAATTGCACTGTTAAAAAAATATCCTAAACATAGATGGGCTTTTAATATAAACCAATTGGTGTATAGAGAGTATTTGCAAACAACGCATGGTACAATTGCTACTGTTCAACTGTAATCTTTCCTTTCTAGGTTCAACTGATCCACTACAACCACGAGTTGTACACAAATGTCACAGAGGCTGCAAAGAGTCCTAATGGGTTGGTGGTAGTTTCCATATTTATGAAAGTAAGTATTCAGTGTTACCAGCATCTAATGTATAGGGGGTGGACTTGTTTTTCATGAACTGTAAATGCAGAAACTGGACTCCTCGTTGTGGCACTGCAGTGCCTGGAGGCTCTGATCTGAAATCACAAGACAGCCTCATCCTAGGAACTGAACGTACAGTTCCTGAAAACATAACGGAAAAAAATGAAAAGGAATAAAGGGAGAAAATTAATGATATCATAAAAACCACTCATAAAAGTTTAGTGGCTATGACAAAAGTTATTGATTTCTTTGATTTAGTATTCTTGTATGAAACATGAGATGAATGAGTCAATTAGAAATGAACCTCTCCCGGTAGGTTGAGGCCCTGGGATGGAGGGAATGGGCAGAACACAGGTGCAGCTCCAGAAAGGGAATGTTTTGACACTGTATATTTTCTCTTCTTTAGGTATCTGAATCATCAAATCCATTTCTAAATCGTATGCTTAACAGAGACACTATAACAAGAATAACGTATAAAAGTAAGTTTCTTTCCATTCATGATAGCTGTATGCTTTTAGTATCAAATACCGTGCTTAGTGACTCACTGCATCGAGAGACACCTTGCTATGAGAAAAAGTTACAAAGCTTGTATTGCCAGCAAATCTGCACGACAAACTTGAGAACTTGAAAACATCCAATAAGGTCACAAGTTCATAAAATATTTTTGAGCTTCAAAGCCTATTTTATGTTTGGACAAACAGTAAATTGATGAAAACATATTTAATAAATATATGTGATATATTTGGACAGAACACACAGGTAAAACTGCTTATTGTTAGCAGCAGAAGTACCATATATTGCAGCCTGAATTACTCCAATTCAAATTACAAGATGCTGCATCGTTGCCTGTTTTAACACGCAGCTGTGGATTCAGTGTTCATTAATGCTTTCTTTTTGCGCAGAAGAATGTCGTTTCTATTTTACTATTACTGCATGTAATGGGTATATAAAGAGATCATCAACATAGCACATATATTTGTTGTATTTGCATTTGGAAAGCCTTTAACTGATAATGCTCAATACCTCCATGTTAGCATATTAAATAAGTGGAAAACTGGAGCTTAAGCATCAGTTAAAATCAGGGTAATTCAGAGAAAGACATGAAAAATACATAGACCTCAACAGAATAAATTAAACCTCTATACTGAAAACATAATTCCCTTTGTCAAATAATCACTTGAATGCCAAGCACCATAAAGTTAGTACACTAAATGATACCAGATTATGAAAATATCATAGACCAGCATCTACAAAGGAAGAGATAGAGCTGTTTGTAACTGGAATGAGACTGGATGTCAGGACTGCAAAACTTAGTTCTCAGCTCTTTCAGACTCTGCCCAGTTTACACCTTTGTAAATGAAATACATCAATCTACATACCCTCCAACAATACATGTTGCTTTGAAAGCTTCCCGTCTGCATCTCTAGAGAACTCAAAAATCCATTTAACTCCAACAAGTCACTGAACTTCAGGTTTATGATGGAAATGTTTGGAGAGATTTCTTTCTGTACACATCCCTGAAGTTCACAACCTGATTTCTTTGTACTCTACCTTTTTCCCTCCCAGCACAGCTAGGACTACAATCCTACAATGTTTACATAAAGAAAAAATAATGCATTTGAGACCTACATGAATTGCAAACACAGAATTTTACCCACTAATTCTTGAACAAGAGAGAAGCAGAAAGATTGAGCCTTGCCATACAAAAGAGAATTTGAACAACAGAGCCATTCCAACTCCATTCCGAACTCAGCAGTTCCATGTCCTTTACTATAAACAAACCCGACAGTGGAGCACTAAGAAAGCTCTTTTCTCCCCACATATACACACATCTAGCAGATCTCACATACTGAGCAAGGGAAGGCTCCTGCCTAGTTTTTCCCATTACAGCATTTCTGTCCCATGCATTTACATGAGCATCACAGCTTTTCTTGTGTTCCTTGGCCGCACAAGCTTCTATAGCTGGCCAGTAGAGCAAAGACTGGGCAAACTGCAGAGACTCAGAGCAGAAGAGAGATGACAGTTATGGATGTGATGATCCACAGGGCTGAAAGGAACCAGCAGCACCTTTCCCTTGTTGCGTATATGAGTGTACAGCCATCACCTCCATTGCAGAACATTTTCTTTTTGCACTGCATTTGTAAGCAGGTGCACCTTCACTCTAGACCTTTCATTGGTTGTTTTGGCACTCTAAGAGAGCAAACAATTCCAATCACTTCATTTAGATTTTCTAAATGAAATTTCACATTGAGGTGAATGCATAACAGATTGCAAAATCAATGAGTACTGGAATAGTTTTAATTTTTAGCCACTGTTATCCCTAGCAGGTGCATCTGCTCAAATGAAATCCTTGGATACAATGGACACAGCATTCTCAGTGCACTGGGTTTCTTGCTGTAGTCACAAGTACTGACCAGAAATTTTTTAGTGTAAACTGGGAGTGCGAGAGTGCTACTGAAAGTAATTTTGTGGTTGTCTTACATGATAGATCATGGCATCATTGCTGAAAACTAATTTTACTTCTTACATTGCAGGGATTTCTATTCTGCCTTCAGTAACTGGAGGTTTTTAAGTTGCGTTTTGCAGGCCCACTCCTGAAGGCAGTACTCAGCGCGCTCCCAGTGTGCCCAATAGGGGGGTGGAGTAAATGAGAACAGGCTCAGAGTCAGCAGAGCTAATAACATACCTACATTTGTGAATTTTTTGTTCTTTTTTTTTTTTTCTGAAGAAGAATAGCAAAAAAATGAAGGAGTTGTATATCATGCAGCATGAAATGTCCACAGGCAACATGCATGAAAAGGGGAATTTCTACCCTCAGATATTAGTGGTTAAGTAAAGTGAAGTGGACCCCAATCTACTTCTAAGTAGATTTTAAGTACTTTTTAAGTATTAAGTATTAACAAAGCACAACGAATATTCTTTGAACTAGCTGAAACAAGGATTATTTATTCAGAATCTGTGTGAATCTCTAAAATGGAATATGAAAGCAGTTTTTCTTTAAGTACGATTCTAGGGGGATTTCTTTCAGCCATGCCCAGTAGTTGCTTATCATTGAAAAGCAGCAACATTTCAGCTTCCCAAAACTCCATACTGAAATTTGGACTTGTCATTCTCCATAGAAACACCCAAGTATGTTCAGCTAGGCAAAAGAGCTGCAAAATTTTGCATTTTCTCAAATTTAATCTTCCACTGTAATAGAGATAACAAGTGAATAGAGTATCAGTTTTCACAGATTATTCTGAAAAGCTTTACATTTCATATCTCTGGAGATGAGACTCCTAATTTTCAAAGGGGCATGTTTCAGTGGGTTGCCTGAAGAACTGAGCTCCTGCAGCTCCTGCCACGAGCAGAACAGCTCGGCCACCATGAGGCAGGCCCTGGGGACTGAGTGTGGGTTCTTTGAGTGAGTCACTGCTGCTCCCAGCTGCGTCTGAGCAGCTCCTGAAGGCTGATAAACAGAGAAACTCCAGTGCTGAATTTAATAACTGCAGAGCTCAACGTTCTTTGCCCTGTATTCTATTTAGGCCTGTACTGTCCCCTTTTTGAGTTACCATGATACAAACTCGGAAATCGAATAGGGCTTTTTTAATTCAGTTGATGTATTCCCAATTAAGTACCATTTCCTTGAAAAGAACACATTTTTACTTTGAAAGCAGACCTCACACACCAGTTACAAATCTAAGGATGAAAGAGCGCTTCCATTATTTGTTAAGAAAATTGTCAGAGGCCTATATGTAAATGAATTTGAAATCTAAATAAATGTAATTTGTATAGAGAAGAGTTCACGAGTTCAGAAATCACCCCAAGGCACACACACAACAAGAAAAACAATGTGAGCTGTGGAGAGGAATGATGCTGAGAATCTAATAAGAGCTGAACAGGTCTACCAAAGAAGTTTATTACTGGCAAGAGATCACATCGTTTTCAACCATTTTGATCATACGCTTGCAATAAATATCATCAAAAGAGACAACACATCTAAGTGCAGCCTAGTATTAATGCAATCCCCATACCCAGTTCTGTTTCAGTTCCAGTACAGATTATTTATTTATTTGTTTTAAATAAAGATGTGGGAAGAGGGAAAGAACAGAGCTGTTCATGGGAAAAATGATAACCAAATGCCTACTCTGAGGTCTCCTCAAGGCATTCCCACTGAGCTGCCTGACTTCCACGGGAATATAGCCCACATACAGGCATGAATTAATAGTGCTTTTTCTTGGCCAAACTCTTATTTCATTCACACCCATCTTCCTTGTTTCCTGAAGTGATATTTTCTCCTCCAGTTTCTCTTTAATTACTACTGATGGATTTTGACACATAATCCACCAACTCTCCTTAAACATACTCCAAGTGAACACAGAAGCAATGAATCAAATTTGAAGCAACTCCATTGCTGGGTGGTGATGGGAAAGATGGCTACACAAAGAGCACTGTATATTTTGCAGATCCTCAGTATGTAAACAAGGTAACCTAGCAGTTGAGGCAAAATTGATTAAGGCTATAAGCAACACACCTCCTGACTTTCAGAGCACCACACACACTTGCCTGAATGCCTGGGAATTCCACGCCCCACATTATGCCCATACTGCTAGAAGCCACAGTACAGCACATCCATAGGCAAGTTAGCAGCTCACATCAAAATAACACATTCTCTATTAACACCATGCAAAGCAACTCCAAAATCCCTATGATTACCTGCATTAATCAGTTTCTGTATCTTTTATAAGTAACCCTATAGTTAATAATCTGTGCGCTTTTCCAAACACAAATTAGTTAACTAGAGTGTGGCATGCACAAAAATACATATCATCAGTATCCCTTCTCTGCATTAAACTTTCATTAGCTTTCCATCTCCTAAAAAATAATTCAGGGAAAATTCAATCCTGTTAAAACCATTTTAGTCCAGCTGAAGGCAACGTGGATGTAAGAAAGCGGATTTGGTCCTTAGAGCTTGAAACTATCAATTCAGATGGACTTCACGCCACTCGCAGCCAACATATACCACCCTCCATGGTTCATAAGCGAATAGGATGTTCACATAGGGATGGGAAGGAAGTGTGATGATTCAAGGAAAGCAGGCACTGGTTTGAAAAAATGAGTTCACCCTCTTCACATGTAATTCTAGCAAAATTACTGCTGTACTGCAAATAATGTTTACAATGAACAGGACACAGCTGCATTCAGTCACCTCTAGCTGTTAAACTTCAACAGCATTTTGTCTCCATAATATCATAGCAATGGTTTTGCACTTTCAAGTGGAAAACTGGGGGGCTAGAAACAGATTGTATATCCCAGGCCATAAGCCAGTGAAGGCTAAGCATTTTTACAAAGATAACAGTCGCCTCTAAGACACCGAGAAGTACAGTCTCCTCTGAGGCTCCAGATACTTGGAAAAGCAGTTACCCTGGGAAGACGAGAAGGTGGCTGGGAGCTGCACTGCTAACAATATCAAAGGACATGCCAAGATTTTCATTCCTCAAATAACAAATACATTTTTAATACCAAACACCTGTAAGGTACTGGCCAAGAAGTTGCAGATATAACACCCTCATCTTGGCCCTTTAACCGATGCTAAAGTCACTTGCACCCTGGAAGCAGCATGGTGAGTGCAGTATGTCAAAATAAAAATAAAACAAATCACATTTGCTTTGCCTGGGTACTTTGATCTTTCTGTTGCCAGTACAGTAGTTCTCTTTTTTCCCCATTAGATAATGAGACAAACATTTTGATCACCTAAGTTTTGTCCTTCAGCTATATGTTAAATTCTAGTTCAATTACTCCTGTTTTTTAGATCTTACACACTTTCTTAATCATTCATATTTCTTTCTATGCTTTCATTTAAAAACTTCTTTTCCCAATGGCCAAGAAATTATCAGCTTTTTTTTTTAATAATAAAAACAGTTTACATTTAAAATGTGGAAAACATCAGAGAATCAAGCAAGAATGCTTGAACAATTGGTATTGACTGAAAAGATGTGCTTCCTACATGTTTTTTTAGTCTCAATAGGAATCCTCTACTTTATTTTTACATCCTTGTATTCAATTCAAATCAACGCATATTACTCTGTGTATTGAAAAGGGAACTGCCTAAATATGCAGCTTTCCTTGCCCACATTTTAGTGCTCACTCTGCAAATGAACCATACTGAATACCACACACAAGTGAAGACATGCACAGAGATTTCCCAGCATTGCTACTTGCAACCAGCACAGCTTTCTCTGAACACAAATATATCAAAAGTTAAATGCTATCCCTGAGTATTTTCTATTGGTGAACTCCTATTGCCTGCGCTCTGGCTTTGACAGTACTGCAAAAATATTAGAGGTCCAGCATTATAAAAGGGAAATGTACAGATAATAAAACAGGCTGAGGAACTTTGATGACATGAGATCTATCCCTACCTCATTTTATTTTGGTAGATGTTCACAGACTGAATTCTGTTATACACAGGTACTTCATTAATTCCAAGAGAGGCTTATGATATCAAAGCAAGGCCCACAGTAAGCTGCTTTCCAGCACACTTTTCCACCCTGGTGTTAGCACTCTGAGTGAGCTAGCAGCACATCCGCCCCCACTGTGCACATGAAAGGCCAGCAGGCTTCAGCGAGCAGGTTTATTATCATGCATTAACCTCAACTTCAACTTCCTCCCCTGGCAGAAGGGCAATTAAGTTTTAACACTCACTGTTCAACACAAGACCTTAGGAAGGCCAAAATTGTTAATCTCTCCAAAATATGGTAAGTCTTCTCCAAAGACTGCTGCACCTAAATCAATAACCTCAAGAAGGTTTTAACCGCTTCTTAAATGAGGTTCAGAGTTTCACAGTGGATACTTGAGCTGAATTCCCAGGGAAGGTATGCACTGTCACCAAGGAGAAAAAGCCAAACCAAGATTACTTCTTAACCTAACAGCTGCGGCATGGTCGTTACACTTCCCGTATCAGTAAGCTAGAGATGATGCTTTGAAGTAAGGATTGCAAACGCTTTTTTTTTCCCTCAAAAACGTTGCTTTATCTTTATTTTTTTTCTTCTCTTAATTCTCCAGATGATGCATACTTACTACAGGGGCTTAACATTGAGGAGCTTTACCCAGAGACCTCTAGTTTCATTACATACGATGGGTCAATGACAATTCCACCCTGCTATGAAACAGCAAGCTGGATAATAATGAACAAACCCGTCTACATAACAAGAATGCAGGTAATAACAATAATAGATATACATATACTTGATCTAGTCTAGGTACAAGAGTAGAATATTTTAAATATGTTGCTAGTTTTATATACAAAATTAGATTCAATCTTGCTGCACGGATGTCTGCTTGCAATTTCTACAGCGTACAAAAGCAATAAATAAAAATCCTAAATATTTAGAACTGCCAAAATAATTGCACATACACACACTTTGATGTGGGCTCCGCTCGCCGTGAGAGTTTGAACCAAACGATCCAAAGGTCTCTCCTGGTAAGATACTTCATGATTCTGTGAATAAATGCACGGGGATTCTAAAACAAATACAGTAAAGTTGTACAAAAATAACTGGTGTTATGAAGTTTAACCTTTACTTCAGTTTCCTACTTTGAAAGATTTTTGTTGACTTGAATTAATGAATATGCTTGTAGCACAGTAACTACAAGAACCATTGCTGTCCAACTGCAGAAGAAACAGTTCAATCTCAAGTTGACTCTTTCAACCCACCTCTTGCTTACAAATCACTGAAACTGTTTAACTTTGATATAGTATAATATATATTATATAAATATATTTTTATATATAGTAAATATTTAGTATATTTTTATATATATATATATATATATATATATATATAATATTTAATAGTGTTGTATGTTCTTTAATTACAGGAAAGGCCAAAACTAAAATTCCGTGTTTTATATTTTGTATAGATGCATTCCTTACGACTGCTAAGCCAGAATCAGCCATCACAGATTTTTCTGAGCATGAGCGACAATTTCAGACCAGTCCAGCCTCTCAACAATCGATGTATCCGAACTAATATCAACTTTAGTTTACAGGGAAAAGATTGTCCAAACAATAGAGCACAGAAACTACAGTATAGAGGTACGTTCTACCTCCAGAACAATCCATTCTTTACTTACACTGAGCTCTTTTCTCTGGTAAATTTAAGTGCATAGCAAAGTCTACAAATAAACACAAATGAAACACCAGATCTGGGGGAATAGTGGTATGAGTCCAACATTGCATATTTGACATGGAAGAGGAAACATGCCCAGAAACATCCATGAAAAGCCAGGACAAAAGTCACTCTGGGACATCTGCTGTTTTTCATAAGAGAAGGGACAGGCCTTCAGCTTTCTAGCCTCATTTTAAAGTCTTAATAAGTATATTGTATTCTGCTGGAAAGAAAAAGGGGGATGAGCTAGTCCTGATGACAGCTGATCTCAAACAAAAGAATAAATTTCACTTTGGAGGTGTACTGCCATAACAAATATCCAAACTGGAAAGTTTTTTTATTACACAATGAACACCAAACAAATGAACCAACCCAGTCTTATGCTGGTAACATCTTACACTGCCACAGCTTGGGGCTCACTTCTGAGCTGGAGTGCATCTTACACATCTTTTAGTCCATGCACATACAGTTGTATTACTTACAAGACAGCATAAAACTTCCCTCTTGACTATAATATTATGGTTGTGCTGAAGGGTGGATAAGAACACACTTATTCAACAGCAAGGTCAATGATTGAGTTACAATACGGCTAAAAAAAAAAAAAAACCAACATACAGATGCAGTACTTTCCCAAGAAAAGGAAAAAACTGAGCCTTTTGGCTTTTCCAGGATGTTATAGGTGCTAAAATGATTTAAAGTCATCCAATTTCATTTCCAGGGTTTATTAAAGCATAATCGTTTTTTTGTTTCTCTTTCAGTAAATGAATGGCTCCTCAAGTAAGACAGAGCAGGCAGAACCCATAACCTCAGTGGAATGCTACTACTGTGATTGACATAATCTAGAATGCACCCAAACTCACTCTCTCTGTGGGTTCGTGACAGCATGTGCAAGCATGCTGTAGGAATAAAGCTGCCATGTTGGAAACTCAACTTAAAATTCATTCATATGATCGGTGGTAATTAAAAAAAATAAAAAGACAGTATTACAGTAAATGTGATTACAATTTTGATACAGTTTTCCTGAACTAATTTAGCATCACAAAAAAAAAAAAAAAAGAAAGAAAAAAGACTTTTCAGCCTTTGTACATATGAAATTCTTCCCCTCTTCCCCCCTTTCCCTCAAACTAAAAGAAAAAAAGAGAAAAAAGGTGGCTTGGTGCAGCATCAAAGTGGAGTTGTGTTCTGTGTGCCAAGTAATCCTTGGAAAGCTCTCATTATTTCACTATCATTAATGGATACTGACAAGACAGAACAAGACGACTGTAGAGCAAACTTATTTCTAGATTATGATCCTTCTGTTCATTTAATTAAAAAAGGGACAGACAGAGATAAGTATTGTAAATAGATCACTGCAGAATACAAAGGAAATTTAAATATTTCCCTCTGTCACATATCTGTAGTAGGATTTGCCAAAATCAGAATTGATCCATTTTCTGTTTCTTGTTTTACAACAGGTCATACGTTGTGTTGGTTACTAATAACAACTCAATAAATGTGTTTAACAAATTAATTTAATAAACTTGCTTTGGTTTACTTTTTTCCTTTCTGAAATAACAAGCCTCTAAGTATTTGTGGCTGCATTGTTTGTGTTTTTGTTGACTTTCTCTTTTTATTTTTTAATTTCATTTACTTGTTTGCAGCCAATCTAAGTCAGTTAACGGCAATTGCGAATGCAGTTAAATCCAGTATAACTTTAACTCTGCTTTACAGTCAATCATTAAGAGAAGGCTGGGTCCAGAAACAGATCGCAGTTGAAACATCTCAGTTTCAAATTGTCATTTCCCCTGTTCAATTCATTACGGTGACAAACAAATTTAACCCTGTAAATTGGTGGTGGAAGCAGATATTTTTCTTTACGGATAAAGCAGGAGCTGACCAAGTAAAAGGGAATGCCTTTTTTCTTGTTTATAATGGTCATTCACTGTGTTTGGTTACTGTCAAGAACTAAATAAATGTGTTTAACAAGTTCACATACTGCATGTTTGGCCTTCTTGCACATTGAGAAGTTTCAAATTGTTTCTTTCTCTGGAGAGTGAGCAGACCTCATGTTACCCAGCTCCTAATGCTTACTTTGTCATGCATGACAACAGGTAGAAGTTAGCAGAAAAGATTATGAAGCTAGCAAGGACCAAACAGGAACTATGAATCATTCATACCAAATGGAAGAACATACGCTACAAGAAGTTTGAGAAGATGAAACACAGTAAAGAATGTAGAGACCCAATCCACACTGGAGACCAACTACCTTTAATATGACGTAGTATTTCATCTTTGGCCAAAGCAAACAGCATGGACAGCATCAGACTGAAAACTCAAGAGACTGTTGTTGGTGAGAGCTGGGAAAGACTACATCACGTGAGCTAAAAACTGTGATTTCATCAGTGGCACAAAAGGAAAAGGTATCAGGAAAGTGAGAACATGCATGAGTTGGTATTCAGAGGATCCTCAAATTAAGCAAGCACACTGTGGGGAAATCTGTAAGGAATCTGAAGCTTCCAACAATTCAGTTGTTCGGTGAAAGATGCAGAGGAATCACCATGTGGGACGTGGCACACTGATGTCATACATGCAAAAACGTTTGGGGCTTATGACCCTGGTCCAGGATCCTGCTAACACTGATGTAGTACCTGATCCCTAACTTACTTCTGTCTGAACAGCTCAAATTAACTACATATACTAGCTTAACATTGTGTAGTGATCTGAGAAGTTCACTAAACCACCACAGAAATGCCAAAACCAACTATTACAAAGTAGGCTAGCTTTGTTGAATTCTGCAGCTGAAATAAAGCATAGTTACTACCTTTGATTTACCTAGCTAATGAAAAAAAAATGCACGTGGCTCATAGTATTTAACATCTTTTAAACGCCACAGTCATCTTTAAAATGACTTTTAAGCTTGTGATATTGGGATTGTTTCCATGACTTGTTTGACTGGTTGTGGGTTTTGTTTGGTTGCTTTTATAGGTTTTATTGTTGTTGTTTTATTTTATTAAGCTTCTCCTGAGATTGTTAAGGTTACACAGAGAAGTTACAGAGAGCACAAAGTCCACAACGGCTCAAACTGTATTTCAGGACAAATACCTGACAATTGTTGATCCAACTATGTCAGTGACAGAAGGTAGGGAAGATAAGCAAGGCCACCATTATAAAACTTTCAGTAATAAAACCTATATGCTATTTTAGTGAAAGCTGGTTGAGGGGATTTAAGAAGAGAGAGAGATGATAGAAGAGACTAGTCCTAAAGAAGAAGTCATGCTGTGCTTTGGATTAGGTGAGGCTGCAGTATAGAAACCCTGCAAATAGAGAAACATGACAATCATGCTGGGACACTGCAAACACATTTGTCAACATTCCCAAGTCCATTTTGTGAACTAATGAACTCCAGCTTGCCATGATTCATTTGGGTGTTAGTTTTATTGCAGTAGAAATAGACCAAACCAAAGTTTAGAATTAAATATCTTGCACACACCTCAGATTTAAGTAGCATTTGTATCTAAACATGCAGTTTCCAGTTTTTCAAATCAAACACTTGCCTCCATGTGAAGACAGTGAGCATCCAAAGAAAGCCACACAAAATTTATTACAAAGCCTTTAATCAAAAAAGTGAAGAATCTATATAAAAAAACTGGCATGGATGATATTCTGGTATCCAGAATCTGTGTAGCACAGCAACAGATGCAAATCTCTGACTTGAGTGTTTCCTACCCATGCTGCCCATGAAAAGCCCAGCTAAACATGAAGCTAGTGCACAGCTTTTGGTATGAGCTGGATTTGTGCTGTCATGGCTTCAGTACTAGCAGTGTCTGAGCCATCCAGATTACAAACAAGATTCTTCACTTGTGATAAGGCTCAAAACACGCATGTGCTATCTGGTAAGGAATATAAATCTGGCAGCCATCCTTGAAAAAAAGTCAGCAGCACAGGCAGAACCACGTTGCCATGCCATGATGGTGACAGGCATTAAGAAACACAACCCTGAGAGGACTTCTCAAAGTTGATCTTCTACCACTGTTATGGATGTAATATCAAGCCAGGCACCAAACTTAAAAAGTTCACTTGGCAATTATGAAAAAAAGAAAAACACTGACAATTATTGCTCACATAGCATTAATTTGTTGGGCACCTCCGATTCCATGCCCCTGGTGGAGGTGGGCTGCCAGCAGCCATTATTTTCAGTACTTTGCATCCAACAGTGTTTCAAATTCATAGGATTTCTCAAAACACCTGTTCTTAACTGAAACAATACAGAAGAACTTAAATAGTGGAGCTAATACTTCAGAGTCCTTCCTGCTTCTGGCACATCCTGTTTGTCTCCCAGTTTCAGTTTTCCGCAGGTTTTATATCCTACTATTTCCCATACATGCCTTAGAATTATCTTGCTGAGGATAAGCTAGGAAACAGACCTTATTTCACCCAAGAAGCCAAGATAAGAAGCAAATAGAACGATTCCGATATTTAAGATATCTCACATACAGCAGGTGCTTTCAGATTCTGAGCTTCCCCTAAAAATCAAGAATTGGAAGGCAAACTGTCTGCTTTTATTCTAAGTTTATTCTATTATTATATGTATTATTTATACAGCAAATACTGAAGATGCAGCAAAGAGGCAGATATTTTGCATGTACTCTATTACAGCTCATAGCTTAAAGTCCTGGCCACCATCCAAAAAAAACCCAGATGTTTTTCCTATAATCAAAACAGTGCATCTTTTTCAGGGAGATCAGCCATAACTTTTCCATGGTTTAATTTATTTTTCTATTAGACTTTAATACCTGGATGCGATGGCTGACAAAGCATAGAGACTTTGCTGTAAGAAATGCTGATTTACTACTAAATGGTTTGCCACAGTTCTCAGCAGCATACTGCGAAATTATTCAAGGGGTCTGTTTGCATGGTAAAGAGCAAGAACCACCTATAATTTGAAACTCGAATCAGGCAAATATTTTCCGTTTCCTACAGCGTCAGGATTCTACTCCAGTAACTAAAAATGCATCTAAGCCAATATAGAAAAACAGGAAAACAGATCTTGTATGGCAAAATAACCCTTAGCATTTAAATAGAACAAAAAGTCCTTAAAAGAATTATGGGGGGGAGAGGGGGAAATGACAGTCTGAATTCAGGTGGATACTTCATCCTCAAGGGAAGAGCTAGACTCAAAAGTAAATCTGAGCCAAAGATACTGCTGCAAGATGCCACAATTACCCCCCAAATTAACAATATGAACTTCAGCCTTTTGTAACTATTTCCAGCACAGATGGTCACTGACACCCAGAAAAAAAAATCTCACTTTTTGAGACTATCTGCATGCAGAGCATATGTTCAGACATTATAACACATCATGTATGTACTTGATCAAGGAAAAGCAGTGCTGAGTCACATCCACAATACCTCTTCTGATTCCTCTACTCCCCCCCGGATGTGCCCCCACAGTGCTGTAGCAGGTGATTTTGTGAACCTCTGTCTAGCACCCTGCCAAGATATCAGAGGCTGCCAGAAATACCTCATGCTGTGCTTTCCTTGCTCTCCTGCTGCACACATACACTTTGGTTGAGACTTTTTGGAACACAGTCTATGTTCAAAGGACAAAGCAGACCTCACTCTTTTGTTGTACTGGTGGTAGTATTAGCTGCAGAAAAGAGATCAGGCAAAAATAATGAAGGATAACTTAATTATGAGCACTGAAAATACAAGTGTTGAACTTTGACCTGCCTGCACTGAGGTTGTCCTTCAAGGGCACAGAAAATGGATTGCTGACACTATCTACAAATTTCTGCCAAAGGTGAGGAGGTTCGGAATAATTTAAGATAATTCAGGGTTTACTCCAAATGGTTTTGTTCTATCTTAATAGTGTTTCCTTGGGGGGGGGGAAGGGAACTGAGACCACCACCCAAGAAATTCAGCTGTCTTTGAGGCAAAATTAAAGCTTTGTTTAAGAAGCCTTATTCAGCTAAGCCTAAGAGTCCTCTGGCAGCAGTCACACATCTTATGAAATAAAGAAAAATCCCTTAAGCTGAAGTCTTTTGGCATACTGAACTATGCAACAGCAGAAAAAAAGAGGAAAAGGAAAGGACAGGAATGAGCTGTGAACTGAATGAAAAGGATTAACAACAGCTTGGCTGTGAAATGATCAAGTCTCCAGCAAAAGATTTTATTAAAAAGTACTATAAAAATTGAGAAAGCTATAAAAATTCCTTTTTTTTTTTTTTTCATTCTCTCCTCACCAAGTGCAAAAGAATGGAAAAGAAACAAGCCTGAAATTCTCCATGCAGTACTAAGCAAATTCATCATAAAATTGATGAGTAAATCAAAATGAACAGAGCAAAGAGATGGTATTTATGTTATGCATCCTCACAACTGACCATTTGGTAACAAACTCTTCTATAATAATATCAGTTCAGGATTAAGGCAACAACTTGTGAATAACCGCTGAATTTACCCTGTAAAAGGTGTGATTGCACCTTAGTATACATGGTAAAAAGTTAAAACATGTCAACATGATGAGGAAAAACATTATTCAAATGTGACAAATTTTGTGAAGGAATGTTAAGACAACACAGCATCACAATTACAATAGCAAAAATAATGAATATTGGAAGATAACAATGGGGAAAGAAGACTTTTTCTGTCCATCCAGAGTTTCTCCCTATGGAATACAATAGAGCAGCAAGCTGATTTCAGCTGCCTTCTTTCAGGCATCATTTAAAAATAGACAGCAATATGAATAATAGTGACATTTTGAGACATTCACCACAAACTTTCGCCACACTGAAGGTCTCAGTCGTTAAACATTTATATCCACACTGTATAAGCTGCAGAAAAAAACTGCCAGAAATGGAACTCCACTGACAAACATTTCACCCAAATGCTGTCCTCATTCCTCCAACACAGATGGTCAGGCTGAAATTCTTGTATTAAGTAATTGAAATTCTGTCATATTGCAAAGCAGCAGGAAGAGGAACCATTCTATGTGGCCACTCAT